CCTCTTTATCTACCAAGAGAATTTAATTCATATGAAAATGTGAAAGGAAACACTATTTAGACGGTTTTGTTTTTTCATATACCAAAAGAAATTAATTAGCATGCTGAAAAAAAAAAAAAAAAAAAAAAAAAGGAATATCCGTGAGACCAAAAACAGATCGGAACAGGGGAAAACAGAGTACCCTGCTTTCCTAGTACAAAATGATGCATATTTTCTGGACAGCTAAACAGATGTAACAACAAAACTAGAAGGGAAAAAACCTTACCTGATTCGTTTGAGAAGGACTATGAGCAAGGCTCGGGTTAGAATACAACCCAGAGATTGGGTTCTTCGTGAGACTCTGATTCTGGGTCCGCGGAAGGGCTCTGCCATAGTGACCATTGTGGTTGCATTTGGGTGCTTCCCCGCTCATCTTCAATCTTGCGACTTGCCCGGCAGCTTCGTATATCAGATCCCAAGCGTCGTTCTGGGCACCAAACGGCGTGGTCGGGGGAGATGGAGCCTGGGAGGGACCATTCGGGCTCCCATTGCTCGAAACAGACCAACTTCCTATTCCACTCAGCGTCGACTGTGGCGAACTCGCCATGACTCCGCTTTTCTGAGTCGTTAACCAGTAATAAACTAAGTAACCCACGAATACAGTAGAAATTTTACACCGAAAAGAGAAGCATAAAAGCTTAAAGAATGAATGATTCCAAAAGTTACCTCGGTCTTGTCCTGGTTGAAACTCGGCACAGCGAGTTTCTGACTCGAGGAGCGAGAGAGTCGACGACTCAAACCCAAAAAGAACTCATCCTCGTCACTGCTGTCCGTCTCCGTGGACCCAACAGACACAACCGGGGAACTGAGGGCAGAGGAATCGAGCGAGTCAAACTCGTATGGGAACTCATTAGGGAAACCGTGGCTCGGTGGCAGCAACTCAGTGTCCAAAGCTGTCAGTCCCTTACCGTTGAGTGTCTCTTTACCAAAAAGCACACCATCCTCGTTGAGAAACTGCGCCGGGAGGCAGGACTCGGCGTCATGAAGAGGTCCGGCCATGGTTAATGATGGAGGGAAAGATGGGTGAAGAAGAGAAATGAGGGAAGTTTGCCGGTTAAAGAAGATTTAATAATGAGGGGAAGAGTGGGTTTGCGGGATATTTGAAGAGTGGAGGGACCCAACAGAGGGAGAAAAGCAAGGGAGTGGAGAATGTTGAAGACAAGGTGGTTTTTAACCAAGGTTTCAGGCAGTAGCAGAATGAGAGACAGTGGCCCGTTAAAATAAGACGAAGAAATAGGAGGGGAGAGAGGGCAAACTTTATTTTTTAGAAATAATCTTTGTATAAATTATTTATTTCATTTTTTATATAACTTGTATCATTAAAATAATTATTTTTTAATTTATTAAATATATTAAATTGTATAAAAAATTTATAAAAATTAAGAAAAAAAATTATCACCATAAGCTTATAGCATTTTTTTTTTTTTTAAGTAACAACTGGGAAGAGTGGCACAGCCGCATAGTAGTTGGAGATATTTGTCCTGCCCTGCAACCCACCTGCCGTCTGTTCTCACTTGGTTCATTGATCCCATTCCTCCCCATTTTTGCATTTTGAATTTCAAAACCTGTGTGTACTCAAATCTGTGGTTTGGGAAGTTGGGATTGGGAGGCGATCTCTTACCATGCATGGATTGGATTATAAGAGATTCTGAAAAATCAGTATGAAAATTCTTTTTAATGATTATAATGTTAAAAATGATATGAAATGATTTACATATCTTTAATATATTAAAATTTTTAAACTATGAGAATTGATAAGTTTAGTTTTTTTTTTTTTTTTGCTAATCTTCCTGTATGTAATAAGTTGACTTTTACTCATTTGTTTAAAAGAATTGTTAATTTTTTATTTTGAATTTATTTGAAATTAATTGTTACTAAAAAAAAGTATATATCAATTCTCACTCTAAAAAATAATTAGAATTGGAATTCTAAAATTAAATTACACATTTTATTTAATTAAAATTTGATTAAAATTTTAAAAATTATCTTATTAAATGTTGATATATTAGAATATATGATAGATTTCTAAATTTAGATATCAATATTTAATAGAATGATATTTCAATTTTCAGATATAGGTTATGACTCTAATTGTTTTTTAAAGTTGAAACTAATACATATTAATTTCATTGTCATTTTTATTTTTTTAAAATAAATAAATATTTTTTATTTTAACTTTTGTTATTATTTATTTATTTTAAATAATCATCCTATCATAAAAAATTTTACTTTATATTTGTAATTTTTTTCATAAGATAATATAAGTAAGTACATAAATAATCTCAAAATTCTTACAATTATTATGGGGAATAGAGAGGGTATTAACCATTGATGTTATAACGAAAATGTTAATTTGATATTTTGATTACTTGTCAAAATCTTTTATGTCCAAGCAACTTAGTTTGAGATTTTATGTAATTAAGAATACAATTTTTTTATATTTTTTATTTAAGAATATAAATTTTTTTTTTAATAAAGGATGAAGTGCATATGAACTCTAATGTGTTATAGAGATTTTGTTTGCAGGCCCTGCTTTTCTTGCTAACATGTTTAAAAATGGATGACAAGGACGATGACCTAGACAAAATATGAGAGAAAAAGAAAAAAAAAATGGCACGTAGATGGGTAAGATCTATTTCATCTAAAAAAATAAATTTAACCAATTTCTAAGTGCCCCCTTTTTTTTTTCTTTTTATTATTTTTTCTCTTAATCATCATTTATACTGTTTACTTTTAAAAACATTAGTAAGAAAATAATTCGTTAGATACCTCACCATGCACATTCACTTAATCTTTCTTAATAAAATTACAAATCTTTCATAAAAAAATAAAATTGCAAATATCATATCAATTAAAAATTTTTAAATATAATAATTTTAATTAATAAAAAAATCATATTTTAATTATAAAATTATGTTTTTATTTATACAAAATCTCAAATTATCTCGTATCTTGGAAGAAACACATCTTTTC